TCAAGAAATGATGAGTCTTTTTCTACGATATCTGGATTTTTTTTGAAAATCGAGATTTGTGCTTTGTACTGCAATTTGTATTCGAGAGAATCTCGAATATCATCTAGTCTTATCCTCCTCGTAACTTTGCTTAATAGCGTTGTGTACAGTTCAATATAGTACATAAACGTCCGTATACAGAGAGTATCGTTCGAATTCTGTAGTTTTCATGCTAACACATGTTACTGATATTAAAATTTTAACATTTCTCCTATCGGATTGTATGAAAGCTATATATTTTGATGCTGTCTTTCTCATAAGTTAACTAATTCATACTACTTAGTCTTTGAATACTATTATATAAGCATATAATTACTCTTATCATGAATACGCCTGTGAATTCAACTCCTAGTTTTTACTATAGATGAAAGCATGTTCTTAAAATTTATGCTCTCTTATGCGACTTGACAGGTCCAATATATATCGAATGGCTTGCATGTCTACATCAATTTTTATTACTATCTTTTGATTTCCGCACAACATTAATATAATTAAGATAAACCAAAATAGATAACCATCCACAAGTCGTGGTTCCAAATCCAAGATGATTGTACTTGAATTAAGTGAAACACCCGCAAGAATAGAGTTGGAAGAATTCCAAAGTAATCAATAGATTAAGGAACGATCTCTCAAGAAAAAATTCGATTTGTAGGAGTGTAATTAAACGAGATATAGATTTCAACTTTTTTGTTAAAGCGTTTCACGTATATCCTTATGAAATGAACTAGAGCAATTGTTTATCATCATCAATAAGCTTTACAATTTGACAAATAGATTATTACATCTTACTCATGGATAAACCGAATATTGACTTTGGAAAACTCTCCTATAGCTTAAAGAAAAATTCGTGAATTAGAAATTAGCCTAGTGTAATATGCACTATAGAAAAATTTTACAACTAGCCAACGCGAATATAAATATACTCACAATGACATTTCTGAAGAATAATAACCTGAAAACTGATTAAGTAACACAAATGAGTTTTATATTGTCACTTAATAGGGCAAAGCACTGCAGGCTGTAAACTGATAGCCATATGATTGAACGAAAGATTCCGAGTGTAACAATAAACTTCTTGGGCAATTGTTTCATAATTGGTTGAAAGTCAAGATATTACGAGTTAAAGAATCAATCTGCTCAAACTGTTGCAGCTCATTATTCGATTGTCAAAAAAAAATCACAAAATCAGCTCTCTCTAAATCAAAATTAAAACTTTTCCGAAAAACCAGATATCTCATGATGAATTGTCGAAAAAATACGCTCAATAAAATTGTTAAAAACACATTGCAAAAAGTGTTTCTAACAATTGAACATGTGGCAGATATCTTTCGTACAATTATCAAAGTTGTTAGGAGTAAATTCGACATTCTCCCTCCTTTAAACAACAGCAACGCTTTGCATATAAAGATAAAAACTTACAATATTCCCCAGTATCAAACAAGATATAATTTATAGGTTTAACTGTGTCAATAGATCTAAGATAAGACTGATTAGATTTTTGGATCAACAATGTGGAAGCATAGCAACGCGAGGGTGATTATGGATAGCTCCCAATATTTATTCGGTATAGATAGAGAAATAACGACTGTTTTGGAAGTGATAGATGTGCGGTTTTCCCACAAACTAAGTCACTTGAATTAGCGTTAGATATTGTAAACATCACAATTGATGACATCAACTAACATGACATATTCGAATCAGTGGAATATTAGGACTCAACTTTTAAGTCTGAGTAACATTTTTTTCGAACGTTTCAAAATAATATTTTATATATTATTCAATGCAGAATCAAACGGACTAAAATATGAACGAATGGTATTTTTGGCAATCTCTTTGTGACGTAGCCGTTCAATTAAAATATTGAAAGAAAAGGAAACTTTCTAGACTGGAAAAACACTGTATTTCAAGTTTTTCGATTCTCTACTGCGATGAAGAAAAACTTTCACATGTCTAGATTTGTGAAGCAAGTTGAGCTTTATCAATTGGTATATGACTCAAATAGAAAGATGAATCTCGATGAAAAGAAACAATAGGAAATTTGATATGATGCTATACATAAAATAACTAAAATATAATATCAGCAGTCGATATTCAAGTGTGACTATCTCAGCTTTCAAATATTTTGAAACAATGCCAAATAAATGATTCGATGTAGAATGAAATGGACTAAAAAATGAAATAAAAATTTTTATGGTAATTGATTTTTGATCAAGATATATGTGCAAAGTAATGAAAAATGGAGAAAATTTAATATGCTAAAAAATGCTATACTTTGATATTTTTGCTTCTATATTGGGGTTAATAAGGACACATGTCATCTATGTAGTTTTGTAGAGCAAGTCACCCTCTATCGATTGGTATATGTCTCAATTTGAATAGTGAAAAAATTTGCGACTAAAAAATTTCATAAAAGATATAGGTCAATTTTTCACACTTGTTTGTGCTACTTTTTGAAGATGTCTGTAGTCGAACAGCCCTAGCAAATCACAAGTAAATCTTTAGACCGTAATATGTTGTATTCATCTACGGAAGATACAGCCTGAAATTCGTAGGCGGTCAAATCCGAAATGGGTTGACCCCCATGTTTTTTGATATCCGAAAATCTTTGATTTTTTTTGGTGTAACGTCTCTTGAATAAATGAATCATAAAGTACAGCACCGAACTTATTCATATTTCAATATCTTATCGATTTAATTAACAGACTGAGTGTTGAAATCAATGCAAAAACAAAAAACAATGTGTGTTATAAAAGTAAATGTAAAAAAGCTATTAAATAAACACAGAAGAACATATGTTATTAAAAATTTTCAATCATAAATATAAAAATTGATTTGTACTTTATTCTCACTAATAAAACACTGTTTAAACGCTTCAAATCAACATGTTAGATGCAATGAAATGTACTTTTTTTTATCGCACCTAGGAAAGAACTTATCAATCTAAAATGTTAATTGGAAATCTAATGTTTAGGCAACAGTTACAAATCTGTTATATCAGTTCTTTTGGTTTGAAGATAATCGAGCGAAAAAAGCAACATTCATTTGAAGTTAAATAGATGTCTGTAGTACAATTTGATGGTTTTTAAATAATAGCATATATTACTCTAAAGAAATAAATTTCTGTTTGATTTGTACAACTTTCTCTATAGCATAGAACGCTGCCGTGCTAAAAAACGATGCTTTTTTTTAACATCTAAAAAATTTATTGATTACTTTCAGCGACAAATATTTCTAGTAAACATAAGTAATATTTATCTTTATGATAGTGCTTCTCAAGCTGTGAAAATTGATAAGTTTCACTTCTCTATATATCAATGCGGAAACGTATTAATACAAGAATATTGAATTTTTGAACTTAATAGTTGTCAAAGGTACATGTTTGCAGTATTTTTACAATAGTTATTCTATAGTTACTTCTATAACATAGATTTGTCTGTGATTTTGAAAAGAATTGAACGCTAAATTTTCCAAGATAAAACTTAGTCAATCATTATTTAAAATTAACAGAGATATCGAGAAAATATTGAGAGGTTGATTTATTCTGAAGTATAGTCAACAACAAAATGAATAATGAAATATAACATTATTTAACATGATTATATTGACCTAGTTATATATTTATGTATATATATTTAACAAAAGAAAAGATAAAACAAGAACACTCTTATCATTAATATTAATATCTAGTTTTTCTTTTCGATACTTGATGTTCGTTATCTTTATAAAATTTAGTCTTTGAATAACAAATTAGATAAGTGGACTTCTATTTGTTTAAAAATACGTCTTTATTATGAATTGTTTATATGATCTTTCGCTGATAACAATAATAAAACGAAGTCCAATAGTTATTTCCAATACAAAAAATCTTTTGTACGAAATTTAACAACTTCAAGTATAGATTCAGCTAAAGAATGATATCGACCATTACCTCCATATATTTACAATGATGCTTCTGTTTATCAATTAGAACGTGAAAATATTTTTTCAAAAATTGGGTGGGTGTGGGTCTATTCAGAGAGAAGAGCCACCCACACACCCACACACCTCACCCCGGTATCACCCCACAAATCTTGGGTTAGGTTTGTTCGTTTGCCTTGCAAATTGAACTCTAAGTTGCTACATGAGGCCCAAATGTGCTCTGCAGTTTTCAGCTCTATCACTTCTGAAACAGTCTAGATTCATACCAATCTATATCCCAAACTAGACCCTCCTCAGAAGTCGTTCAGTTACAATGAATCAAGTTGAGTTTTACAATATCAGTAGATCTTTATCAGAGCTGCCTATTGCAGTAAAAATATTCTTTTAATTTCATCGAATGGGAGAAAGACAGCATAACTCTGATAGACCATCTAATTCAAGTTAATGCGTCATGAAGAATTCGTTGATGTGAATCAAATATCTCAGTCGTACTAAGTGGGATACAGCTGAAGTCGATGCTTAAGATCAGGATTAGCCATGCTTGGTACCTCTTTAAAATATTAGTTCAATTCCATCGAGTTTCATGTCAATTCAGGGGGTACCTACTTTTGTTCAGTACTGTATGTATCTTATCACCTGTACTAAATTGAAAGAAAGTCAAAAAAAGTAATAAAAGTAATTAAGTAATAAGGAAAAAAAGAAATAAGGGTAATACGTGATAAACGATATGTAAATATAGTAGCCCTAGTTCTAATCTTTGAATCATATTATTTATTTAAATTTGTTACATAAGAGACACAAGAGATCATAATCTTCATCTAATCAACTTTAAAATTGTGTTGAAAATGAAGTTCAATAGCATCGAAACATCTACGACACCGATTTATTTTGATATATGAGATTCAGATAAATGCATATCGACACTCAAATGAACCATTTAGACTATGAAACTTGAACACGGGAAATGTTCGGGAATTTTAACGCTTCCTGCCTTGCCCCGCCGAAAATCGTCCCCGACTCGGGGTCTGTGGTCCAAATCATTTTTATAACAATTGATCAAGTTTCTGATAAAAATCAATTTTCTTTTCATCCCAACTGGAGAAAAGTCCATATCCCTCAAGAAAAATGTGACTATAATCATTTCCAAGATTATATTGAATACTGCGTAGAGCAAGAGCTATATCATTATATCGATCAGCCATTCCAGCACGTCCAAGATCGACAAAACCAACAACACAACATTGTTCTTCATCGATAATTATATTCGGTAGACAATAATCACCATGTGTAAAAACAAGTTCTTCTTCTTGTGGTGCATTTGCCAACAACTCAGCAATCAACTGATCATTTGCATCTTCTCGACCAAGACATTCTTTTAGTTTCTGATTGATACCCTCATCAAATGGACAGTTTTTAATGTCTATTTTATCATGAAATTGTCGAAGTGCAGATCCCAATTGATGAACTAATCTAATTGGATCATTTTTCCATTTGGTTTGAGCTGCATCTATTCCATGTAAACGACTCATTAATAAATATTCAAATGTTTCGTCTACTTGATAATCAATAATATCTGGCACAGAGATTTTTCCTTTTAACCATTCAATTCTCGACTTTTCCTGCAAAAGACTTTGTCGCTTTGTTATTCTCTGGATTTTTAATACGAATGTATCATTGCGATAGACTTGTGCACCAGATTCACCAATCGTCACAGGCTCCCAATCGATGTTCCCGTAATGACATTCAAATTTTTGACTAAATTTAATTTTCATTTAAATCTATAATATTAATTGTATCTTTTCAATTTCTGCTCAAACAGCTGAGACAGAGAAGAAAGCAAACGACTTTGAAAAAAAACGAGAAAAGATAAGGAATGGAGAAAGATCTTTAACAAATACAGTCAAGAATAAAAAGATGTCAGTAGATTCTTTATAGAATTCTAAACTTTGAGCGAAAATTGTATTGATTTAATAAGTTAAAAGTTTGTATACACCCTTTATTTAGTCTTAATGAAGAGATGTTTTTATCTTGTTGAAAATGTATGTATGATAGAAAAAGAGATATTTAGATCTTCACATAATTGAAATCATTCGATGTGATATTATTGATCAGACTTCGATAGGCAAGTAAGGTGAGATGTGCGAGATTGAACTCAAAGCGTACATCCGATTATAGTCGTTCTGCTTCTTGCATGGCTTGTGCTTGTGAAGCTATAGATGAGAGCGATGATTGACTGCCGAAAATGATGATACGTGCATTTTCTATAGTAGTACTGTGAGCCAATAGAATATTTGATTAGAATGTCGAGGAAAGCGTTTGTACTAGCCGATCGAAAGTAATAGTTGTTGGGAAATTGGAGTTTGTTGCCAGACAACCATCATCAGTCAAAATACAACACAAATTGGAAAAAAATTGATGTGTATTCATGTAAGCAGGCATTGCCTCTTCCAAAAATGCATCTATGACAATCATATAGTACCGATGAACTGTTTCACGCACATACCGAAAACCATCATCTGACAAGATCTATACAAAGTAGAAGAATAAATACATTCGAAATTGAACATTATTGCAAAAAAGAAACAAACATTAAAACGACTGTGTGCACTTTCCTCGGTCAGTCCAAAAAAATCACAGATTAATGCGATAACAGTCTCATCGATTTCGACTGCATCGACTATAACAAAAGGAAAATAATGTCGAATAAACATGAACCAGATGCCACCGCCAAGACCAATGATGAACACACGTTTTGAGTTGAATTTACATAAGAATGAGGGTATGGGTGTGGGTGTGTGGGTGTCGGTGTCTCTCTTCTATTCAGCGCCCTCACACCCACACCCACACCCCACTCCCACACCC